ACTTAGGTTGAAATGCAGTGGCCTGATCTCAGGCAGCCTCCGCCTCCCAGGTTCAAGCAATTCTCCTGCCTCAGCCATCCAAGTAGCTGGAATTATAGGCAAGTACCATCACACCCAGCTAATTTTTAGTAGAGACAGGGTTTCACTATGTTGGCCAAGCTGATCTCAAACTCTTGGCCTCAAGTGATTCGCCAGCCTTGGTCTCTCAAAGTGCTGGGATTACAGACGTGAGCCACCATGCCCAGCTTTAACTATTTCAATTAATAACCTGATGATTACCAAATATAGAAAACCAATCCAAGTGAAGATTGCAAAAAAGATATTGTGCTTTCAGGCAACATGCACTCAAGATATGGGAATTGCCTATGTGAGTACAAGTAATTGCTTGTATAATGTCACCAGATTAAATTCAACAGGGTCTCTTTTGGCTAAATGTGTTATACACCTTACATGCTATAAGGGGGGCACAAAAAGGTAAATTTCCCAATGGATTTTGTTCAGGAGCTATGCAGATTTATTAATGAACAAATCTAACCGACCCTGCTCAAATGCAACTAGGTGGCCCTGTTTTTCAACTCCCAAGGGCCTATATTGGCTCTGTGGATAACCTGCATATTTCATTCGGCCTTCTCGTTGGCTCTGATCTTGCTGTTTGGTCTGGCTCATTTGCCTAAAAATTATCTTAACAGCTCTTATGATTGTAGGCCAAAATAGCAATAACTGAAATTAGCACTAGCTTTGACATAGACAAAGATAAGCTAGATTCCACTGAGGAAAGATTCCAGTGGGGTTCCTGGGGACTCAGTTTTGGTGGTAGTGGGATACTAGTTGTATGGAATCTAAAGCTAATTCATATTTGGGGTCTTGGATTATAGCCAATTAGACTTCCCAGTGTTTCAGACAGGTAGAAGCTACTCTCCAAAAGGTAGATGTGGACGGGTGCAGTGGCTCGTTCCCATCATCCCAGCACTTTGGGAGGCCAAGGCAGGTGGTTCACCTGAGGTCAGGAGTTCGAGACCAGCCTGGCTAACATGGTAAAAACCCATCTCTACTAAATTCAAAAAATTAGCCAGGCGTGGTGGCACAGGCCTGTAGTCCCAGCTACTTGGGAGGCTGAGGCAGGAGAATCTCCTGAACCTGGGAGACAGCGGTTATGGTGAGCTGAGATTGCGCCACCGCACTCCAGTCTGGGTAACAGAGCGAGACCATGTCTCAAGCAAAAAAAAAAAAAAAAAAAAAAAAAAGTAGATGTTACAGTTAACATCGTGCAGCTTCATATCTTTTTATTCAAGCTGGGAACCTACTTGGTGTTGAACAGAATGCTACACTTATCTCTCTCCTGGTTTTGTTACTACAGAAAGCTTAATGTAAACGTAGCTGATACTGCTGTTTCCATAGACACTGACACCAAATACAATAAAGAAATCTATTAAGTGGAAAACATGGTGTGTTTACAGGAACAACTAACGGTTGGTTTGCAGACATCCTAAATTGTAGATGGCAAGCTTGGGTTTCCCAAAGGTTTCTAGTCTTTATATGCCTTCTGGCAGGTGTCCAGTTTAGTATGGCTTGTGTTACCAGAGTAACAATGAAAATGGAAACGTCTTTAAATCAGGCCACTTTATAGTGAACTATGATCCTTAATTGCTATCGCATTTCAAACAAGAACTATGACCAATTAAATTTTAATATTGTTGAACTGTTATGTTGCCTGAACTTCGACTTGTTCAATTTGGTTTAGTTTATTTCTTATGAACTTTTGTTAAGGAGTGTACCTTGGTATTTTGATAGTATTCTCTTGATAGTCATAATAATAATTCCCGTGGTGTGCTTCATCCTCTCAAGTCTTAAATGTTTTGTATGCAGCCGTACATTGAGAATTGAATGGTCTCACTTAGACTAGGTCAGCAAGAACATAAAGAATCATTCACCTAGTGTGAAGCTGTGACTTGTGAACTCCATAGTGACACTAATAAAGACTTGTGAACTCCATACTGAGAATAAAAAGTCTTGTGAACTCCATACTGAGACCATTTATGATAGTGAGAGAGTGGCATCAGTGCCTTAAGTTTTGGTCAATCTCTCTAAATTCAGAATGACAAAAACAGGGGAATTGACAAATTGAACTCAAACCTGGCCTGAGGAAGCCTTCATACTTCCATACTTGAGTCCTTAAGAGTGAACCATAATGTAACTAGTAGGTAGGCAGACTGAAAACCTAACTTAGGAGGATGCTGCTTTAGCAATAGCTGAGTCTCAGCCAATCCCATTGGCCATACTTCAGCCAGTCACAGGCGGCCAACTGTTTGAATCACGCTCAGATAAGGCAAACATCAAGCTGTAACCAATTTGGCTGTTTCCGTACCTCACTTCCATTTTCTGTATGTCACTTTCCTTTTTCTGTCCACTAATTTGCTTTGACAACACAGCATCCCTGGTGTCTGTCTGTATCTGCTGTGATTCAGAGGGCTGCCAGTTTGCAAATTATTAATTTTTCTTGCTCAATTAAACTCTTTAAATTAATTTGTATAACATATTCCTTTTAACAGAAACAATTAAAATGGAAAGAGGGTATAGAAATTTAGAAAACTTGCAGCATGGCCATGTGGGTAGAGAAGGAGGAATCCAAGCAGCCTGCTGAGCAACTACTTGCTAGAGACATTAGCATGTCTAAAAGGGAGCCAGGTGCTAATATTCAAGACAGTGGGAAAAGGCCTCAGAGGCACTTCGGAAGTCTTCCAGAACACCCCTCCTATCATGGGCCCACAGGCCTAGGAGGACTGAATGGTTGCAGAGACCAGGCCCAGGGCACCATTACCCTGTGCTACCTCAGGATGCTACTTCCCACATCCCAGCTTCTCCAGCTCCAGCCTTGGCTCCAACAGCCCCAGGTACAGCTCAGACCACTGCTTTGGAGGGTACAAGCCCTAAGCCTTGGCAGCTTCCATGTGGAATTTTTTTTTTTTTTTTTTGAGATGGAGCCTTGCCCTCTCACCCAGACTGGAATGCAATGGCACCATCTCGGCTCACTGTAACCTCCACCTCCAGGGTTCAAGCTATTCTGCCTCAGCATCCCAGGTAGCTGGGATTGCAGGCATGCACCACCGTGCCCAACTCATTTTGTATTTTTAGTAGAGATGGGGTTTCAGCATGTTGGTTAGGCTGGTCTTGAACTCCTGACCTCAGGTGATCCACCCACCTCAGCCTCCCAAAGTGCTGGAATTATAGGTGTGAGCCTTCCATATGATTTTAGGTCTGCATGCTTGCAGAATGCAAGAGTGAAAGAGGCTTAAGAGCTTCCACCTAGACTTCAGAGGATATATCAAAAAGCCTGAGTGCCCAGGCAGAAGCCTGCTGCAGGGGAAGAACCCCCACAGAGAGCCTCTGCTAGGGCAGAGCCAAGGGAAAATGTAAGGTTGGAACCCCCACACAGAGTCCTCACTGGGGCATTGCTTAGTAGAGCTGTGGGAATGGGGCCAGTGCCCTCCAGACCACAGAAAGGTAGAGTCACCAGCAGCTTACAACCTCAGCATGGAGGAGCCACAGGCATTCAACTCCAACCTGTGAAAGAGCAGCCATATGGGCTGCACCCAGCAAAGCCATAGAGACAGGGCTGCTTCAGGCCTTGAAAGCCCACTCCTCTCACCAGTATGGAGTTAAGGAAGATTATTTTGGAACTCTAATATTTAATGTTTTCCCTGCTGGGTTTCAGACTTATGTGGGGCCTGTTGCCTCTTTTTTTTTTTTTTTTTTTGGCCAATTTCTCCCTTTTGGAATGGGAACATCTACCCAATACCTGTAATACAATTGTATCTTAGAAGTATGTAACTTGTTTTTGATCCAACGGGCTCATAGTTAGAAGGAATTTGCCTTGAGGCTCAGATGAAACTATGGACTCTGGACTTTTGAGTTGATAGTGGAAGGAGTTGAGACTTTGGAGAACTATTAGAAAGGGATGATTGCATTTTACAATGTGAGACAACATGAGATTTGGAGGTCAAGGGCAGACTGATACAGTTTAGATGTTTGGTCCCTCCAAATCATATGTTGAAATATGACCCCCAGTGTTAGAGGGGGGGCCTACTGAGAGGTGTTTTGGTCATGGGGGTGGCTTCCTCATGAATGGCTTGGTGCTCTGTCGGTGGTAATGACTGAGTTCTGGCTCTGTTGGTTCACATGTAAGCTTGTTTTTTGAAAGCACCTAGCATCTCTCGTGTTTGCTCTCTCACCATGTGACACACCTGCTCCTCCTTCAGCTTCCACCATGAGTAAAAGATTCCTAAGGCCCTCACCAGAAGCACATGCCTGCACTATGCTTTTTGTACAGCCTGCAAAACCATGAGCTAAATAAACCTCTTTTCCTTACAAAGTACCCAGTCTCAGGTATTCTATCATAAACCCCTGGAAGAGTTATACTACTCCCAGGTCAAGCCCATGGTAAATCCCACACTCCCCGCCAAGGCCACCTTTTCCCCTCTGCAGACAGCATGTGGTTAGAGTGGATGGATTGTGTCTCTGGCCCCAATTCTTCTCCCACAGCTGCATCCCACCCTTTGCTATGTGACTTTGCAGCTCTTCTTACTACAGAGGCAAATTCCTCTCACCCCCTGAGTTTGGGGGAGATGCAACACATGCAGGGGACACCTGCAGGGGTTTGAAAACACATTTGTTTGTTCTGCTTTTGTTTTTGCTCCTCTACAATTTCCTTGAAACTGTGCCTGAGCTAGCCTGCAGGAAAACAAAAAAGCACCATTGACCTATTTTTTAGCTGATCCCACTGCATTTGTACAATGCGGTCTGAGACCAGAGGAACTGCCCAGCCAAGCTCAGCCAAAATTGCTAACCTGCAAACTCATGAGCTAAATAAATATTTTTTATTTTATGGTTGTTTTTATGCAACATTATCCTGGCAATAGAAAAATGAAACAGATGGGACTCAAAAACACTGTATGAAGCAGAAACCCAGAAGCTACCCCACAACCAATCACATGGGACTCGGATGTGAATGGACAATAAGCTTTTATTGTGTCATTGCAGTGAAAGGTTGGGGATTGCTTGCTGCTACAGCCGAATTGATTATATTCTGACCAATACACAAAGAAAGAGATCACAGACCCCCTGCCTGAGCAGTAGGGAGGTGATAGATGAAACTAACTGAATGAAGAGCCACTAGCCTGGCCCAAATGCAGAAGAAGAACTGGCCCGTCCTCTGGAAGCCCATGCTCTCATAGAGGGCCATGGCAGAGCGCTGTATGGTGCTGGTATCCAGGACAACTTCACTGTAGCCCTGGTCCCGGGCAAACTGGAGGACAGTCCTGACCAGGGCTTTTGCTATACCCTGACGACGGTGCTCAGTGTCCACAAAGAGATGAAACAGCTGCAACCGCTTCTCCCTCAAGGTGGGATCGTCAACAGGCAGAGCTCCCACCATGCCCACCACCTTCTCTTCAGACTCAGCCACCCAGAAGCAGGAGCCTCGCTCACTCAGGTAGGATTTGGTGATGTCAGACATGTCTGTGTGCAGTGTCATGTCTACAAACATGTTCCAGGGTTTTCTGGCAAGGAACCACAGGGCAGGGAAGAGGCTGAGGCTGAACATGAGGGCCAAGAGCCAAGAGCCAGAGACTAGGAGTAGGGCGAGGGGCCCCCCAAGTAAGAGTATGAGGGTTCGAGGCAGCTTCAGCAATTGCCGGAAGGTGGCTGGGACGTGCTCTGCCATCCCCCGAGAGAGCAAGCCCACGACCCACTTGCGGTCGCTCTCCCGGTATTTGCGGATGTGATAAGGAGCCATGGACAAACTTCTGTGTCTGAAATCTCAAAGTCCAGAAGAGAGAGCTAGACTCCCTGCACGCCTTTACAGGAGGCCTGAGGAAGAGAGAGGAAACCAGGTGAATGTCTGCATGGCTTCCAGTCTTGCAGGAACGGGAGACCTGCTCAAGGGTATGTCTTTCTGGTTTTCCCATGAGGAAGCAGGCCTCTGCCACTGGAGAAGGTAGGGTCGGAAAGACCTGCACTGGAATCTGGTTCTGTCCCTTTCTAGCTGTGTGACCTTGGGCATGTCACTTAACCTCTCTGAGCCTCTGTTTCTTCATCTATAGAACACGGGAGAAGACTAGTTTTTGGTGTTTTTCTTTTTCTTTTCTTTTTTTTTTTTTTTTTTTTTTTTGAGATGGAGTCTTGCTCTGCTTTCCAGGCTGGAGTGCAGTGGCATGATCTCAGCTCACTGCAACCTCTGCCTCCTGGGTTCAAGCAATTCTCCTGCCTCAGCCTGCTGAGTAGCTGGGACTGCAGGCATGTGCCATACACCTGGCTAATTTTTTGTATTTTTAGTAGAGATGCAGTTTCACCGTGTTAGCCAGCATGGTCTCCATCTCCTGACCTCGTGATTTGCTTGCCTTAGCCTCCCAAAGTACTAGAATTACAGGTGTAAACCACCATACCTGGCCCCTAGAGTTGTTTTGAAGATTGAATTAAATACCTTCTATAAAGCCCTGATAGATTAACTACCCACCACTCTTCCCTCTGTTCCCTTTTTCTGGATCTCTCAGCTTCTTGGTGTATTGAGAGGGCAACTGCCGCAGGCAGGCCACACATCCAACCCTTTGGTCCTTCTCCAGGGACCATACAGTACAGAAATCTCGTGTCCAAGCACAAGTTTCAGCAAAGACTCCCTCCCCCTTGATAACAAATATTTAGGTTGCTGAGAGGGCATAAAAGCCAAGCACAAAAATCAGCCCAGCCTCCAGATCCCAAGGAAGGTGTAGGCTCAGAGCCCTGTCCTTCCACCCATGTCCCCTCACCTGTCACCACAAGAGCCTTGAGTGTCCAGGGAGCTTCAGCTCTCAGCTGCTCACTAGCATCCAGGAAATACTGTCTGGGGCTCTCCCACCCCTGGAAAGTACACCAGTGAGTCCTGCTAGCGTGAGGCTGACCAATATTCAGAGTCAGAAACCTGCTGATCACGTGGAGAGGGAGAAGTTTGTGTTCTGTCCCTGTGCCATCTCTCCCAATGAGGCTACCTCATTGGTTGGCTCCTGAATGTTTGATAATCATAAACCTGAGGGTCAAAGAGCTGGACTGTATGTAGCACAGCAGGAAGCCCGGTGTGCATTCCCTTTTGTGGTTATAGAGAATGACCTGGAAGGGAAGACTCAGGTCGGGAACAGCCCAGGATCCTCTTGGCTGTTCAGGCCCTGGGCATCTCTCTTCCACCTGGCACACTCAGTACTCTCTGAGATCCACCCTGGTCCCTGTACAGAGACACCACAAGCCTGAGAACTGTGCCATTTACGCTGTGATTAGTCACTGCTGGCCAGAGGCCAAGTCCCCATGTTTGGTAACAAGGCCCTTCCCAGCTAGGCTTCTCCCTGCTGAGGTTTCCCTGGTCCATGAAGCATCGATTGTTGGCAGTTCCTTGCACTTACCTCACCAACCTCCACCTCCACCCATTCATTGATTCAGTCAACAATTGTGTACGATGCACTTCCTCTGTCTGGGGATCATTTCGGCCAGGAGCAAGGTTGATATTCAGCTGACAGGCATGCCTGTGTGTGGCTTGTGTGTGTTCTGGCTGTTAGTCAGAGGCTGTGCCATGCCCATTGTTAAATATTTTGCACTGCAGATGTTGGGGAAGCCGAAATTCGTGCTCTTGTACCCAATGTGGAGCTGATGCCAAGCACTGACACGCGGGTGCTTGGAGATAATCTGTGAAAGTTTTATTCCATTTGACCAAAGCGAGAAGGCAGGAGAACAGGGTCACTCAAATTCACTTCAACAAAGCAGCAGCAGTAGAACGTTTTTATGCAGCTAGAGAGTAAGGAAGGGGGGTTGAGAGGAAAGGGCTGTGTTTCTTCAGTGTCGGATAACACCTTGAGCAATCAGGTGTCTGGGTGTTAGCAGCTGGTCACAGTGTCCTTCAAGGCATTCATTTCTTCTGCAAACTTTTCCTAGCCCTGAAGGTATGTCTTCCTGCTGGGCAAAGAAACAGTACATGAGCAGTTTATCATTATATTGTGGGAACAAGGAATATTGGGCCAAAAGCAAGTGGTTAGCACATGCAAGCCAACAAGGCCCTGATCAAAATGTTCATTATTTCAGTCACTAAAACATGCTGGGGTGCTGAAATTTCAAGGGGTCCGATTACAAGTATGCAGTGTACACAAGATAGACAAAAGCAAAACCTAACAGAAAAAGCCCTTTTCCACACCAGCTTACATGCTATTGAAGGGAAACTTGCCTTCCAAAGATTAGCTAACCTATTGATGATCAGCCACGTAGGGCCCATCATCTAGGTTAAGTAGTTTAGACTCTATTCCAAGAGCAAGGGGAGGATGTTGATACGCACAGAGAGGAGGAGGGGTGTGTGTGTGTGTGCGTGTGCATGCATCACTCTGACTGCAGGTGAACAATGGATCTGAGGAGGTAGGAAGGAAGCAGCTACCCCTCAAGGCTCGTGCAGCATCCAGGCAAAAGCAGGGCCCCCAGTACAGGGATGCAGGTGCTCACAGTACAAGAGCAGCTGGACCAGAGGGGCTCGTGGGAACTAAAGTCGGGCCTCCCTCTGCTTGCCAAGCCATGAGCCATGGCATGAAGCTGAGACTGGCCAAATAAAAAGGCACCCTTTTTTTATTTGCTCAAAGGCATGGTTTGCCCACTAAACCCTGCATCCAGTGGGCTGCACGGCTTGAGGCTGTGCCTAGCTCTGGTTTCACCTGGGCTAGCAGAGGCCCATGAGACAGCAGTGGCTTTACCAGAGTGAGAAAGTTAAGAAGGTGAGACTTGAGCCACATGGAGTGCATTTGGGAGCAGAAACGGCAGGAGCTGGAATGATTCACACAGGGATGAGGAAGGGCTCAGAGACGACGGCCAGGTTTCTGGTAGGGGCATTCAGGAAAACACGGGAGAGAGCCCAGAATTGGAAAAGTTAAGGCTTCCCTTAAAGGTGCTGCCCTGCAGCCTTCCTCAGTGGAAACCAGAAGCTGGGAGCCAGCAGCAGGGATCCAGGGCCAGCAGGTGGAGGCTGCCGAGATTCTGGATCTTTGGCATACAACACCACCTCCAAGGAACTGTCTAACGAGCATCAAGTCTGGAAAGTAAGTCCATGGGTCATCGTTAGAGTATTCTCAGAACACTTCAGTGTCAAGCAGGAGTTGGCCAAGGAATCACAAGAAGTAAGGAGCTGCTCCAAAGCACTACTGAGTACTGCTAGTGTGAGTCTGACCAATATTCAGAGTCAGAAACCTGCCGATCACATGGAGGGGGAGAGGTTTGTGCTCTGTTCCTGTGCTGTCTCTCCCTCCATGCTCGCCAGTGGCTGTGGCTTCCTCAAAATACAGTGACCTCAGTTGACATTCAGTCATCTCTCGCTCCCAGGATTTAGTGTGACTTCTGTGTTTTTGTAGCTTTCTTGATAGAAGCCTGGGCTTTCCTTGTCAGACCTGAAAGATTTATTTATTCATTCAACAAACAGTGGCCGAGGGCCTGTGGTGTGCCAGGCCTGGGCTTGGTGTGAAGGCACCAGATGCCGGAAGCGAGGCTGCCGCCCAGGAGGACACACCTGCTGGGGCTCTGGAAACAGGACAATGGTGGAGACATCACATCCAGAATAACTTTGTTAGCAGGGTGAACTTAGCAGTTGGAACTTTTATGTTGCACTTGTTGAAAAGTCACCTAAAATTGCCATAAGTAATAGAAGTAATATAATGGCCTGTGAAACTGCCAGCTCCAGGAAGACAGACAGGGTGATCTGAAAGTAGGTTTGACCTGCTGGCTTTTCTGCCATTCTGTGCATGGCATCAGCTTCCTCCTGAGACTGGCACCACATTGGATGTCAGGTGTTTGCCAGCCCAGTTGAAGCTGTCTGCTTCATTGCTCACCAACAGCAGAAAGGTAGGGTCTATGCCCCGCAGTCCAGGTGACAGAGAAGGTTTACATTAGGACTCAGTCACACTTTCTAGGAACTAGATGTACATTTCATAGCGAAGCCAAGTTATACTAAAGGGGTCCTGGCCTGAGGATACCAGCACACCATAGAGATGGAGATTCCAGGGGTTCAGGAACTGAGGGGCTGAGTGACGGTGAGCACTGCCTACAGAGGGGGTGCCCTGCAGTCAGAAGGTGGGGAAACAGGTGCAGATCGGCAGCTGACAGAGGCCCACCCAGGTTAGCACAGGTGGAGTTGATGGTGAGATGAAGCATGTGCTGGTTGGGAGGGGAAGGCGGGGCCTGTAGCCGGTTTGGGAATTCCCAAGCCAAGCAAGAGGTGTGCCAAGGCCTGCGGCTGGGGCTGTTAACAGAAAAACCAAACTGTTACATTATCTGTAAGAGGTTTCTTCTGAGCCAATATGAGTGACCATGGTTTGGGGATCTCAAGAGGTCCTGAAAAAATGTGCCCGGGTCAGTTGTTTTACACATTTTGAGGGGACAGGAATTGGAGTAACAGCATAAATCAACCCATGGAAGGTGTACATTGATTCAGCCTAACAAGGTGAGGAAACTTGAAGTGGGGTGGGGAGAGGTCGTTATAGGTCACAGGTGGATTCAAAGATTTTTCAACTGGCAATTGGTTGAAAGAGTTCAGCTTTCTCTAAAGACATGAAGTTGATAAAAATGAATGCTTCTGTTCAGAGAGAGTGTCTGCCTCTGCCACATGATGCTGTCCCAGAGTCAGGGAGGTAAGTCAGCCACAGTATCCTGGGTCAATTTAAAACCCAGTGAAGGTGACTCTGGTTTCTGGGTTGTGTGTTAATTCTGGCATTACACGGCCTCAGGTGTTGTTCATAATCTGTACCTGATTATCACAGAGTCCATTCTGAATAATCTAACGATGCCTATTTTAACATTCATACTGGTCAGTTTGGGAGCCCTATACTCCAAAGGTACAAGGCTCTTATGAGGCTTCTCTGACCTCCTCTTCCATCATGGCCAGGAATTCATTTTTTTCAGGTTTCCCTGGGGTCCCCTTGACTAAGAGGGGTTCTGTTCCATTGGCTGGGATCTCAGGATTGCAGGCCTTAGGACAGCCTCACAGCACGGTGCAGGGCGCTTGGCCAGATTTTCCTGAACCCTGAACTCCATGGCTCATGGGATAAGGAAGGTGTAGGCCACACAGATTCTGCTGAGATCCTTTGTAGGTGCAGGTTTGGCTGTGGTCCTTTCTGTTCCTTTCAGAAGCCCACAGAGTAGAGGACAGGATGGTTTGGGGTCAGGGACAGAGGCTCCTGTCACTGAGACTTTGTACTCCTGGGAAGAGACTATTATTGCAGTTCATCTGCCTCTCTGTGCGCTGATGGGGAGCCCCAGCAATTCCAGTCCACTCCTGGCAGCCAGCCTTGAACAAAGAACTGATCAGCCACACAGAAAGCCTGAAACAAAGCCTCTAAAATGCAGCCTCTCAAAAATGCTCACCAGAGTTTCTTAATCAGACTTGGCATAGCCAGTGAGCTTCTGCCGCCTACTGTGACGTGGGTGCTGTTTTTCCCACTAAGCTCAGACCTCTGCCTCAGGAGACAGGACTCAGCTGCAGCCCCCTCAGCTAACTGTGAAGGGCTGCGTGGGCACCACAGGGGCTCCTTAAACTCGCAGTGGTGTGCAGATTTGTGGGTTCACTTTCTACATCAGATCTTCAAAGGTGTCTGCGATCCCAAAAGGTTGGAAACTATTAAATTTGATCATTTCTGAAATGTCGTCCAGTTCAAAAGTCCTCAGTTCCAGTTCGTTTTCAATTCCTAGATAAAGGGATGGGTCCTGGAGCCTCCTGGAAAGCCGGCCTGCAACTGAGCACTTGCTGCAGATAATGTTGGAAGTGCAAACCCCAAGATGCGTGTGTCTGGCCTGCATGTGGAAGCTTTCATAGTCAGGTCTTGCTTTGCAATAGTGCGGGGTGACCAGGGAAGCCTATGTGAGGGGCAGCGGGAGAGCAGCAGCCCAGCCTGGGGAGCTGCCTTAACCACAGCTCA